CTAGTATCCAATGAAACAATAGATTAGGCGCAAGAGAACAAATTAAGGCATTACCTGCCAACCAGCTTTCGCATACACACTAATCATATTTTATTGTATTTATTATTTACGTTCGGCCACCATTGTTGACCTCCTTTTTTTCTTTTTTTAATACTTAATGGTAATATGATGATTATTTAGTAAAACGCGTCTAAGTTCAATGGAATTTTTAATTCATGATACAAACCATATCCAACTCTTGTGTCTGGAATGGTTAATAAATGTAGATATAGTTTTTACCCAAATTCTTATTTGATAGGTGATCGATGCATTATATTATTGAGTAAAATATATATTTATACAACCAAGTACCATAATTTATTTATTTTGATTTTAAGGTAAGAAAATTATTAAAAATATTGTTACAATTTAATGGTTGGATCGATCTAACACAAAACTTGAACGTACACGTATATAGTAACATATCACATTTGATGTGCTGAGTGAAACTGCATATGAATTTGCTAAGAGATTTTGGCCTCACTGTATTTAAGTAAAAATTACTTATAAAATTTATAGTAAATAGTTTTTGGTATTAATTTTGATGTATACATTACTTATAAAATTAAACAAAATAACAATAACAACAAATTTATTGTAAAAGGTTTGACTATTAGATTTTAAACAATGTTTCCATATTATTATAAAAAAAAAATTATACTTCATTTGTGTGTCATATCATGAAGATATTATATAAATTTATTAATAGTTTTAGGATTCTATTGAGTCCTATCACGAAGATACAATTTACTTTATTAACATTTTTATGAATCTATTTTAAGTTTTAATATAATATTGATGAACGCCATAATGTACACTGGTACTGTTGTATAACGTATAAACTAGCATATCAACACTTAGAAATCAATTTGTTAGAAATTGAGTGTCAAAATTACACGGGAATCCTACGAATTGATATGTATTGTATATTTTTTTTTCAATTCTTACAAATAATCTAAAAATAAAAAATTACAATTGAACTGGAAAAATAAATTACAACTTAAAAATAAATTAAAACTTAAAAAACAAACGGAAAGATTTTAGCCGAGGCGAGTAAAACTCTTTCCGCAAGAAGAATACGCCCCGTGTGGCAACTAACGGTTCATGCGTAACTTCCCCAAAGATACAACGGCAAACATCTCTAAATCTGTAGCACACCAAATTTACGAGCTCCGACAAACTAAAACGGAATCGAAAATTGAGCACTAAAAATAGTAATAAAATTATCTATAAGATAATTTTTCTCTATCTTTTTTATTATTATTATTTTTTTTTCTCTCCTTTTCTCTTTCTTCTTTCCACTTTGTCTTTCTTCTCTTTTTCTCTCTTCTACGGTGCTTTCTTCTATTTTGTGTGTCATCCATCAAATGAGATTGATTGGTCTTTATATAGATGAGCAAATGAACTCATAAAATAACTCAACACCCAACCACCTCATAAATTAATTGGTTGGCCATTTACACCCAACAAATATTGCAACCTCCTTCAACATTTAATACACTCACCCAACAAATATTCCAACTACCTTCCATTTAATACACTCACATAAATATAATATACTATGTGCTCAATCCTCACAAAACTCTATTGCATCAGAGAAGGTAGCTTTTGGCTTTGAACCTTTCTTAGTAAACATCATTGGATGTACTGGGGGCCTAGTGGACATAATGTCTTGAACTATTCCTCCATAGTGTACACCGAGTCAATGACATTTACACAATAGAGTCTTAACTCCATTCCGTTCTATCGTTGTGTCCGTTTTTTGCCATGGACAACACAATGGATTCATAAATGTTTACATTTGAAACGGCCCACATTTCACACTTATATAGGTTACCTCCCTATCGAGAGTATCCTGTCATACTCCACCTTTACAAGGTTAGAGATTCATTAAAAGTCCACATGACTTACCCTCACCACAATCAACAGGCCATTTTGCACTTGAAGTGTTGGGAGCAGACACTCGGGTATCTATATATGTGAGCCTGTCAACTTATTGTCCTGTTGGGAGCAGACACTCGGATATTACCCTATTGAGGTCATTTTAGTTTCTTAGTGTTTTAGTGTGTTAGTGTTGTTTGTGTTCGTTTGTATTACCACGTTGGGTTCGACTTTAGGCAGTCATTGACTGTATTTTAGTTTCTTAGTGTTTAGTGTGTTTAGTGTTATTTGTGTTCGTTTGTATTACTACGTTGGGGTCGGCTCTAGACAGTCATTGACTGTCCTCCCACTCTATTCAGCTATTGGCTGATTGTATTCAGCTGGTGATTGTGCTTTTGTACATTTGTATCATTTATATATAATATCTCTATCGTTTCGAAACGATAAAAAAATATGAAATTATATTTAAATGGATAAATTTTAGCAAAATGATGATGTGAACATTATGTCGATGAGAGAGACTGTAATTGGTGATTAAATGAACAAAACCGAATACGGATGCCCCAATAACTTGTATCAAACTAAAAAGGTAATATTTTCAGACCCCAAAAACGGATGCCAAAAACAGATAAAAGTTAAAAGCTTCCATCTTAGTTGGGCAGAATTTTGAGCCATCGAGTCACACACACGTGCACCCATATAGACGTGTTCATCCAACGGCTCAAAACCAAGGGTGGACACTAAGGTAAAATTCACCCTCTCTGTTTCAAGTGATAAAATTAATTAAACATATTAAAGTCCATCAAAAGAAACCAAAAAAAGGGGTGGCTTAAGGAAATGTCAGGCTGAAAAACAGAATCTGCTTGATAGCTATGCAACTGGTAAAACAAACTAAAACAAAGGCCAGATATTATTCAAGGAGTGATGGCCGAGTAACGAAGAGGTGCTTGAAGGAAATCCGGCACGTCGATATGCTTTATTAATGGAGTCATCTTCAACCCGACGAGTTTCACCTGTCGATTTGAATGCCCATTGACAAATACATTTGTAATCTGCAAAAACCCCTTCATCATTTTCGTAAGTTGCCACTTCATAACATAACTTGAAGATTGTACAAGATCAATTGAAGGACAACTAGATATATCATGACGTGTAAATGTATTTCAAACTGAAAATGCACGTGATAAATTGGATACACAGCCCAAGAGATAGATTCATGTATGTTAGACCATACACTAACATACATGTACACAACATATACAAATGAACCACATAAGCATGTATTTGTAAGCGAAAATTCCAAATATTGTCAATTAGTTTAGCACATTTTACCTGCGAACAGCCAAACAATTTGAGTACTTCCAGCAAAGAGCATGAATCGACAATCAGTCCCAGTGCTTCATTGGTTAAATTGCGGCACCAAGACAAATCTAAACTCCGTATATTGATGCAATTTCTAGAAAGTGCTAGAGCAGTATGGCCTGAAACCTGCAGAAAATCATAACAGCTATAACCAAACGAGCAATAAATTCTCGTTATGAAGAGAGGAGGAAAGAGAAGCAAATGCCAAAGTTCATCCATGCTTTCTAACATGCCCCACGTAATACTGGACAAGTACTATACTAAAACTTCATCCAAAGGTTCTACTATTCCTTATAACTCTGATATACAGATTCTCTTAAAATGGAATTGACGTCTATTTTCTAGTTTTCCATGGTCCTAAATTCAATTAGTAAAATATATGTATCGATTTATACAGAAAGACTCGACAATAGAATTGCATTCAAGTTTTTTCTCTTTAACATCCAACTTTTTGTTCCTAACTTATAATATTCATGGTTGACAATAAACATTGACTTTTTAATTATTAACTAACCAAAACATTTTTTAATGTCACATATTTGGTAAATATTATATAAAACTATGAGTAAATAACTATTCCAAAATAGATGACTAATTAGCTTAGTGGTAAAAGTTATCGTCTGCATTGCAAACAAATTTAAAAGGGGCATCATAAACTAAGGATTTAACACATCACAATTAGTGACCATATACTACGATACAACAAGGATATAAAATCAAAGGCAATAAAAATTAAAGGCACAATAAATGTAGCAATATAATCAATACCCCCAACCACAGAGTTAAAAAAATGGTTATTGAATATTGAGTTATCAAAAGGAAAATCCAATTTCATGAATAATCGCCGAAATCCGATAACAAAATAACAATAAAGGAAGCCTTGCTGCCATTTTAATGTAAATGAATTTCTTCATTATATGATTGAGCCTTTTATATATAGATGTGCGACGAAGATCCATACAAACAATTTGATATGCCTTTGCTTGAACTCCATAAAATATACAACTTTAAATACATTCGTAGATTAAAATTGGCATATCTTTAGGGTTGGGACAAAGGAAGAATCATCCAAAAGCATGCATGTATTGACATGTATTCCAAGGCCAGGGTCTTCACAAATTTTTGAAGAATTACAACTCCCAAGTTCTAAGAATCTTAAGAAGATTAAATGAAGCAAATTGTTCCATGGAGAATGATTGCAAGATAAGTTCAATGACAGACACGTTGCTGTAATCCCGGGCCATAATACAGGGGCAATCTCTTTGGCCAAACATGTCAATTAAAAAATATCAAAGATTTTGTGCACGCCAATTGAAGAAATGGATTTCCCGAAAAAAAAAAAAAATGCTTGAAGTAGGTTCACTCGAAGATGACCTATATCATCATTGATCAAATACTTATTGCTAAGGTATATCATTGTTGGCAAGTAAATTTTCATTTAACGAAAATTGTACAGAAGTGTAATTCACAGATCACATCTTATGGGTTAAACTATGTTAATAAATAGGATTTTGAGTAAAAGGAAAGTTGAATCTGTGTCTTATGTTCTAAAACATATGTAAAAGTACATAAGGAAAATGAAAATCTCTGGTTTTGAGAAACTCCCTAATGTGCAATGCACATCTCATTAGCAGTGCAAGTTACACTTTAATATAAAGTTACAACTCAAATGTTACCTGGACGATGTTATTGAGCGATAGATCTTTCAGAGACGCTCCACGAACATCAAGATACGCAGCAATAGCTATATCACTATCAAAACATAAGAAAAAAAGGAAATATAACTGTCAGTTTCCAATTCTGAGAAAGCCCAATATTTTAGCAAGGTATAAACAAAACAATTCTTAAGTGTCCTACAGAGGCAAATTATCAACTTCCATTATATGTGAAAATCATCAACTTCCATTATATTAATAAGATTCTTACCATATAGCTAAAATACCTCCACTGCTATCTATCCATACCTCTATAAACCATGACGGGAACAACGGAACAGAACAGAATAGAAATTTAAATTAAATTGTAATTAATTACAAAGACATGACAAAAAAGAAATCACATAACATCAGAAGCAAAAAAATCGAGGACCCTATCTCCATAAGCATAGCATTGAACTTTGACAAAAGTTTACTGCAAGTTGGAACAAAATAATCATGATTTAAACAATTTGATACCTCATACCTGAATCCATTACGACATAATTTTAGTATCTCAATTGTTCGGCAACCATTTGCAAGATGAGCAATGGAAGCATCGGTCAATTTACGCAAATTCGACAGGTCTATTGCTCGCAATTCAGAACAAATATTACCAATGACTTCCAAAGAAAAATCAGTTAACTCCCTGTAAACAGGACAAGCATAAAGTCAGTAGACTGAGGGAATATAATAGAGCACCCGAATAGCATGCATATCAAGGAGATCACCCAAACACTCACAGGCAATCTGCTAAGACAAGTTCCTTCATTCTGCAACCACTTGCCGTGATGAATTTACTGACAAAATCATCAGAAACAGTCTGAATTCCAGCTAGCGATAGAACTTCTAGGCTCTCTAGCTTTAGCAGTGCTGGAAGAATAAGCATAGCATCTATGCCATGACAATTGTCCAGGTACAACTCCCTTAGAACTAATCTTAGTGAGCTTAACAGACAGCAGATTCCCTCAGAGGTCAGCAAAGGACATTGGCTGATGTCAATAGATTTTAGACAAGGTGCAGCCGAAGCCAGCAAGCTTAGTCCAACATCTGTAAGTCGATATGCACCTCTCAAGGATATCATAGACAAGGCAGGAAGCCAATTTGGCGAGCGAGCCAGCGTGGCATGTAGATTATAGTCTGGCATACAGCTTCCACATAGGTCGAATTGAAACACCTAATAACAGAGAAAAACTACATCAGGTCATCAAGAGGTAAATAAGTCAATGATATTAAGGTCGGAAGGTCATATGCAGCTCAAAAAAATATCTGAAAGAGAATGAGAATGCGAAACAATTACTGAAAGACAATCTCACCATCAACTTGCTGGCATCAAGACCCTCAAATATCTTGGCGAATAGTTCCTCAGTCAACCATGAACAATCTCGTACGCGTACCTCAGTAGGAGAACCGTCCACAAGCAGTTCAAGAAACTTACCGTTCATTACCCGACTGTCACAAAGAAACCAACTGATCTTGTGTCTCAACGAGTCGGGAACAAAATCAAGAGAAGTGACAGCATCAGCATTTTTAGAAACAACCGTCAGGCAAAGATCCTGCAAAGACGGGGCCCGCTTCTCGTTTTTGCATGAATCCTTCTTCTTGGGGGTCCAATTAATTTCAACAGCCTCACTTGTATCAGGAACAGCAGACCACACATAAGTTGCACGATCGCTAATAATTTTCATGGCCGTTGAGAAGGGACCTGGCCAATCTTCTACAGGATTTTGTGGCTGATTAGAATTCCCAGCACCATTGGTGGCCTGATCAGGTCCCAGCTCGTCTTGGGAAGAGAAATGGGCAAATCGAGATGCATTTTGCCTGGCGAAATTTCGATGACGTTCCCTATCGTATCGTCTGTTACGAACAAATCCTGCAATTCCTGCATTGGGAACATTGCCTGCATTGTTCACGAAATTGAAGGCCTCTCTCGCCTGAGCTTGTTCAGCAGGCAATGCTTCATTGGCTGCCGAGTGGTTGCTGGCACCTGATGCACTTCTTCCTTCTACATTTTCTGCATTGGTTTCAGCTATATTTATGTCAATTTGCGAAGAAGCATTGACTCCCAATTTTGCTTTACCTTTCTCTTCCTTGCTTAGTCTCCCTCGTGTCTTAACACCACTCACATCTTCAGTCTCTGATCCAGAACTCATTGAAGAATCACTTGTCTCCAAAGTCTCATCACCAACTTTTTCCTTACCTTTCTGTGCTCGGCTAAATCTCTTCTCCTTCTTCTGAGGGCCATTTTCATCTTCTCCTGGCCCTTTCTCTAACTTAGGCACCGACGGGTGGTTACCACTGCCGACAAAAACACTTTTGTTACTATTCCCAGTCTTTTCTGCCCGATCAGAACCACTACTACCTTCTTTCACATCTATCACAACTCGTTTTCCAGACCTAAGGCTCATAACCTTATTGACAAGCTCCACTACTTCGTTCGACACAAACCTAGGCGATTTTGCTTCACTGCTGAGTTTCCTCTTGCGTCCACTGCCACCATCAGCAGTCCCCGCCAATCCCAACCTGGAAACACTCTCGCCCTTCTCGACTTCTTCCTTGACTGCACCAGATTCAGCAGCACCCCCATCACTCCCTAAGTAAAGATCCGGTTCCTGTTTCCCAAAATCCACCTCTTCGAATTTCATCCTTTTCCCACTCGCCTCCTCACCATTATCCAATTTTCCTGCCAGCCGAGCACTCCGTCTCCTTGCAGACCCAGTTTCAGAATCCACAACTTCCCTCAACCCTAAACCCAATTCCTGACCCGGGCAACCCGAACTCGCTGGAGTAGCCATCTTTGCAGACGGGCTCGTGAACTCAGAGGTTTTGGAAGGGGTTTCCGGCTCGACCACCGTATTTTCACCAGCCGACGGCTTCGAGGTTTTAACACCGACAGCGGACTGAACCTTCCGGGACCTCAACACCGTCATTGTAATGACAGCCTGTCCACACAAATCTCGCAGCATAAAATTTCAGTCAAATCGAAACAGAAAAAAAAAAATAATAAATTGAAACTTGCGTAATCCGAGACGCAGGGACAAAATAACAAACACGTGTGCGCTATAACGGATGAAAGCGACAAAACGCCTACACACATATGAGCACATATACATACACATGATCAGAGAGGGACTTACAGGAGCACAAATACATACACATGATCAGAGAGGGACTTACAGGAGTGATCGATCGATTGTGACGGCAGCTTGACGGGGAAGAGAGAGAGGGGAGTGTGTTTTTTAGTTGGGGTTTGGTAGTGGGTTTTTAATTGGAAACGGGGGAGAAGCTTACTCGATACGCCTGTTAGGGTGCGCTTCGTATCTCCCGCCAAAAATGTGGAATGGGCTTGGTCAGTGAAACCCGTTGTCTAGGTTTCTTTTAGTGGGCCGGCATTTTAGCCCATTCAGCCTCGAATTGAAACCTGTTTTGTAAAGAATTGAAAAGAGCCCTTTGGTGAGCAAAATCGAGACACACTGTGCGTGCAATTCAATGCGGTTCGAATCATTTTGGTTCGGTTTCGATTTGATTTGTAGTTTAAAGTATGTGCCCATAACAATGTTCTGGATTTGTAATCAAACCATCAAACCGGCAATCAAAGGTTTGGTTAACCATAGGGTTTCCCTTTTTAAAAAAAATGGAAAACCCGACAAAACGGCCATTTTGAACTGTCAGTTCAATAAAACCGACGGTTTTCATCACTTTTTTACATTTAAAAAAAAACTATAATGCCAAATGTAGACAATCAAATTTTAATATTGCGTTACACCAACAAAAGACACCAGTTTCACCCGTAACAAGAACCGCATGTTCATAAACTAACTAGGAACCATGACTAGCCTAGTGTGGTTACAATTCCCTTTTTTGGCTTACTGTAACCAGTGTATACTAACCACCGTTTTTGTAACCAGGAATATGTCTAGGTGCTATTGATTCTACAAAACATTATATGTGAATCCCAACTAATTAACTAATCACACAAATCACAATAATATAGTTTAGTTTTGTACTCTTGTTCCTTGTATCCATTTTTACCTTTTTTCTAGAGTGTTTTTGGCTTCAAACTTTTTCACCCGACTAATCTTTANTTTATTTTTATCCAGTTTATATAAGTATTAGCATAATTGTAACTATGAGCTGGCAGATTAGCTGACATACTATTAGTTAGGGTTAGTTGGAGAATTAGTTAGTGGAGAAGTTAATTAGAGTTTTAGTCACTTGATTAATAAACCAAAAATATCTCAGAAACCCTCAGCTACTTGTATAAACTCACAGTGCACTCATTCATTGATAATCAATCATCATCTTCATTTTTCTGTGCTTGTTAACCAACCAAAACTTCCAAACCAGTTGAACTTATTCATTCTGATGTTTGGGGGTCCTCTCATGTTATTTCTGTTGTTGGTTACGAGCATTATATGCACTTCATTGATGATTACACAAGGTTCACCTGGATTTTCCCTTTAAAACCAAAATCTGAGGCTGCCACTATATTTCATCATTTTCATAAGTATGTTCAAGCTCAGTTTCATACTTCCATTCAATGTCTTCAGACTGATTAGGTAGGTGAATATAGATCTTTGGCTTCTATTCTTAAAAAATCTTGGTGTTCTTTTCAGACATCCATGTCCACATGTCCATCAACAAAATGGAAAATTTGAAAGAAAGCACCTTCATATAGTTGAAATGGGCTTAACCTTATTAGCTCAAGCTCAATTGCCTCTCAAATTTTGGTGGGATGCTTTTCATACTGCAGTCTTTACACTCAACAGATTACCTACTCATGTTTTGAACAATTCTTCTCCTTTCAGCAACTCTTTCATAAATCACCTGATTTTTCTTTTTTAAAGACCTTTGGTTATTCTTGCTTTCCTTATCTCCGGCCTTATAACTCTCACAAGTTCTAATACAGAAGCTCCAAATGTATTTTTCTAGGATACAGTGACCAAAACAAATGTTACAAATGCCTCAATCGAGATGGTAGGTTATACATTGCTATCTCAGTATCATTTAATGAGTCTGAGTTTCCCTATCCCTCTCTTTTTGATTCCACTAATTCTCATACTCCTCCTTTGGTCCTTCCTTTTCATGTTTCATCTGCTATTTCTTCTGCCCCTACCACTTTGGCATCTCCTCTAGCATCTACTCAGTCACCTCGAAATGTTTCTTCTTTATCTGTTCCTATGGCCTCTCCTATGGCATCTGATTCACAATCTTCTCCTCCTCAGTTAAATCCTTTAGTTTCTTTTTCTTCATCTTCTTCTGCTTCTGAAATTCCTCTTTTTGTTCATCTTCAAATTAATCCATCCTCTTCTACTCATTGTACTGCTCAGTCAGTGACAGAGCCACATTGGGCCCAGGGGGGTCCATGGGCCACCCTATTTTTTTTTAAAAAGTCAATATATATATATATATATGCAAAAAAATATTTACAATATATTAATAATCAAAAACCTATTTTATATGCTATATTAATTAAATTAATAATATTGTTTATTTATTGAAAAATGTACTAACAATCATTATATTTTACATTTCTAAAGAAGTTTTTAAAAATATTTATAATGATTTACTCTTTGGGTCTCTTAATTGTAAATCGATTTTTTGATTTATAAAATCGAGTATTTAGTTGGATTGTTACGTTTTTTAATATTGATTTTTTACTTCTTTTTTGTGTAATCACATATTTTTAACTTTATCTATTTTTTTTCCTAAAAAATATTTATTTGATAATCTCTCATCAACATAAATGTTGCAATGTGCTGAGAAATTTCAATTCAAACAAAAACTTATTTTATCACAAAATTATAGATGTTGAACTTAAATTATAAATACATGAAATCTCAAATTTTTTTGTTTATTTTCTTAAAAGCTTGAAGGTGATACGGATGGTACACATATAGATATTTATATTTATAATAAATACATTTTCATATGAAATGAACGTTTCGACCTATACTACAAACTCGTTATTTAACATTAAAAATTGGGCCCCCCTAAGTAAAATTCCTAGATCCGTCACTGTGCTCAGTCTTCTCATCCTATGATCACTAGATCTAAGGCTGGCATTTTTAAACCCAAAACCTTTTCTGCAGCACTTACTTCTTTGCCTATTCTTGAGCCACTTACTGTTTCTGAAGCTTTGTCTAAGCCTCACTGGTCTGCTGCCATGAAGGATGAATTTCAAGCCTTGATTCATAATGATACTTGGATTTTAGTTGATCCCTCTTCTGATATGAAGGTTATCAGCAACAAATGGCTTTTTAGAACAAAATATAAACTTGATGGCTCAGTTGATAAGTTTAAAGGCAGGCTTGTGGCTAGAGGATTCCAACAAACTGTTGGTGTTGATTTTCTTAAAACATTCAGCCATGTAGTCAAGGCCTCCACAATCAGGCTGGTTTTTACTCTTGCTGCTACTCACAAGTGGTCTATACAACAAATTGACATTAACAATGCATTTTTAAATGGAGATCTTCATGAAACTGTCTACATATCTCAACCTGGAGGCCTTGTTGATTCCAGATATCCAAATGTTGTGTGTAGACTAAAGAAATCTCTATATGGACTTAAACAAGCCCCTAGAGCTTGGTTTTCCAAGATCAGAGACCACTTATTATCTCTTCAATTCAAAGAATCTGTTTCTGACTCTTCCTTATCTTTTGAAAGGAAAAATGGAAAGTTGCTACTGGTACTAATCTATGTTGATGATATCCTTATAACTGGTGACAGTTCAATCATGGTTCATGACCTTATTACCTCTCTCAGTCAACAGTTTGCATTAAAGACATATGGGGAATAAATCATTTTCTTGGTTTTGAAGCTTTGAAAGCTTCCACAGGTTTTTTTATTGAATCAAGCAAAGTATGCTCTTGACTTGCTTACTAAAACTAATATGCTCTACTCCAAACCAGTCTCCACTCCTCTCTCTCATGCTCAAAAGCTTCATCTTGGTGACAACAAGCCCTTTTTAGATCCTTCTCTTTATAGAAGTGTGATGGTGCCTTGCAATACCTAACTGACAAGGCCAGATATTTCTATTGCGGTTAATAAGCTCAGTCAATTTTTACATGCACCTACTCATCTTCATTGGCTTGCATGTAAGCATCTTCTCAGATATATCAAAGGCACTATCTCAGTTGGTTTGAATTTTCAGTCGGTTTCTAGATTTTCTCTTGAAGCATACACAGAAGCTGACTGGGCAAGTTGTGTGGATGATGGACGATCCACTAGTGGTCATTTCATTTTCCTTGGTTCAAATCTTCTCAGCTAGAGTTCAAAGAAACAACAGGTGGTGGCTAGAAGCAGTGCTGAGTCTGAGTATAGATCACTTGCTATGGCCACAACAGACTTAGTATGGATGTAGTCCTTGTTCTGTGAGTTGGGGTTATTTTTTTAAGCTCCCTCTGTATTATGGTGTGACAATGCGAGTGCAGCTGCCTTGGCCTCAAATCCAGTTCAACATGCACGCACTAAGCACATTGAAAATGATGTTCATTTTATGTGAGAAAAGGTTCTCTCCAAGGAAGTCGAGGTCATATAAATTCCATCTGAATTTCAGTTGGCCGATGTGTTAACCAAACCTCTGTCTCCTGGTCGTTTTCATCTTTTGCGTTCTCGCTTGCTATATCGAGCCAAAAACAATCGGGCTTCGTTTCTCGGGGGTGTATTAGCATAATTGTAACTGTGAGCTGGCAGATTAGCTGGCATACTATTAGTTAGGGTTAGTTGGAGAATTAGTTAGTAGAGTTTTAGTCACGTGATTAAGAAACCAAAATATCTCATAAACCCTCAGCTACTTGTATAAACTCTCAGTGCACTCATTCATTAATAATCAATCATCATCTTCATTTTTCTGTGCTTGTGATTAACTTCAGTATAAACTCTCAGTGCACTCATTCATTAATAATCAATCATCATCTTCATTTTTCTGTGCTTGTGATTAACTTCAGCAACAAGTGTGCATATAATCCTATAATCTCTATCAAAAATATTTTTAGCATAGATACATATTAATATGTCAAAATTTCCAGTTATTTAGAACATGGTCCCCTCTAGGCTCCAATCCTGTGCTAAAAAAGTACATAATTTTCCGTACGCATGCTTAATATGGCATAGTATTTCAGTGAAAGGACTGAACTTAAGGCAATATTTGCATGAACATTGTACTATGGAGAAATTCTTGGTGAAGTTATTAGTTCATTCAAACCATAGCATGAGTAATCACAAGCATTTGAAAAAAGGTAAAATGAAGCAAGGACATCATGATGGAGAAGATTTGGTAATCAATGTGTTTCTGTTGTACATTCAATACATCCCAGTTTGGAAATAAACTTTG